GCCCAGCCTCTCCCCAGCCGCCCCGGGGCCACCTCCAGAGCAACCCCGGGGACAGACGGGGCTGCTCACTTCCTGAGCCTCACTGTCCTCATCTGTGAAATGGGGTCTGCCGTAGGAATAAGCAAGATCAAATGCTTTCATGTTCCCAGCACTGTGCCCGGCAGAGGAGGTACATGGTTCGAGCCAAATCAGAGAAAGGGCCACGTCGCCAGAAACATGGGCTCCCCGAGGGCCCCAGGGTCCCTCCCCTGCTGGACCTGCTGCTGTGCGCTCTGCGGGAAACCGAGGCTGCAGCACCTCGGGCTCCTGAAGACGGAACAAGGTAAGGACCGCAGCTCCCGGGGTGGGGAGAGAGCAGGGACCAGGAGGCCCACGCACTTGCCCCTCACATGCAAGGCTGCCCTTCGTGGGTGAGCAGCGGCTCACCACCAGCCCCCCCCACGTACAGTGATGCCATCGCTCGCGCCGGTGGTCAGGTAGATGTTGTCGGGGTCCGCAGGCACGCCGCCGTCTCGCCGGGTGATGTAGGCAGCCACGTCCTCCCGGATGCAGTTAACGCCCTGGCTGGCGCTGTAAGACCCTGTGAGACACCCAGCGACACAGTGACCAGGGCCAGTCGGCCATATCCCCACACGCAATTAACAGAGGAGGGGGTTTGGGGGGGCCCGACTCCCACTGCTCTAAGCTCTGGAATCGTGGCGAGCTGTTGAGCCACCTACCAGGGCCTCACCACCCACTAACCTACCCACCCACCCTCTGTTCTCCCACCCACCCAGCCACGCACACATCCACGCAATATTCGCTGAAACCTTGGCTTCTAACCAGTGAAATGGTGCCCGTACCTGGGTCACCTGCCCCCTGGGGTTTATACACAGCCTGTGACAGTATCAGTCATGACAGCTGGGATTGCTATCAGTGACCAGGGCCAATCGGCCATATCCCCACACGCAATTAACAGAAGAGGGGGTTTGGGGGGGCCCGAATCCCACTGCTCTGAGCTCTGGAATCGTGGCGAGCTGTTGAGCCACCTACCAGGGCCTCACCACCCACTAACCTACCCACCCACCCTCTGTTCTCCCACCCACCCAGCCACGCACACATCCACGCAATATTCGCTGAAACCTTGGCTTCTAACCAGTGAAATGGTGCCCGTACCTGGGTCACCTGCCCCCTGGGGTTTATACACAGCCTGTGACAGTATCAGTCATGACAGCTGGGATTGCTGTTTTTAAAAAATATATTCGTATTGATTTCAGGGAGAGGGAGAGGGAGAGGAAGAAACATCAATGATGAGAGAGAATCATGGACCGGCTGCCTCCTGCACGCCCCACACTGGGGACCGAGCCCCCAAACCGGGCCTGTGCCCAGACTGGGAATCTAACCTGTGACCTCCTGGTTCATTGGTCAATGCTCAACCCGAGCCACGCCGGCCGGCCGGGCTGGGATTGCTGTTTTATCACCAGTGCCTACACGTGGTCCACTGAGCTGGACAATGTGCCACCCACAATGCACTCACTGCCTGCCCACCCAGGGGTCCGCAGCCCTGACCAAAACCAAGCCCAGGTCCCGGGGCTGCTGGGCATCAGCCCTCCTCCCACCCCGTTGAGGGTCAGAATCGGGGCCACCATCTACACGCAGTCAGAGACAGGCAAAGCCTGTTTCCCATGCCGGGCATTAGTGCTGTGGTGACTGCTCGGGCTCGGGGTGTCGACTGGGAGGCGACAGAAGGTTACCGTCTTCCTGCCCCCGGCTCCCCCGCCCCCCAAATTCCCAGGCCCTTGCTCGCCGGCCGCCCCGGCTCCTGCAGACCTCCTGGCTTTTGCCTTTAGATCTCGTCATGCTCCAACCCACGAGGAGCCCCCAAAGCTCCCATCTCGTCCCTGCGGGTCTGTCCTGAAGCCACTGCCTCCCCAGCCCGTCCGGCCTCTAATTCCTTCGTGGCTTCACTTTGTGCCGGGGAACCCGGGCCGCTCCCCGTGCTGAGAACTGTCAGGCGGGGACCACGGCCGCTTCTCCGTGCATCTCAGCCCGAGCACCTGCCCCCCATGGGCCCCCCGACACCCCTCACCCCGAGGGGCCACCTCTCAGGACCAGCCTGGAAGGTGAGCACAGGGCTCTGCATAAAGGGACAGAGCCCAGGGGGAGCGGAGGGGCGGGCAGATGACAGAGGCCGAGGTGGCTGCGCCCCTGCAGAGCGAGCGCGAGCATCCCTGTCCCACTTTCTGGAACATTTGGGCAAGGAATGGGGCAAAAATAAACAGAAAAACAAACAGGAGATGGGAACAAAGAGCAGAGGCCCAAAGGCCGAGTCCCTCCTCCGCAGGGAAGGGAGAGAGAATGTTATTTTCACATCACGTAAGTAAATAAATAATACGGTAGGCTGAAGGCAGATGGCAGCAAAGGGTAACCTTGTGGGATTCAGTGGAAGCTTGTTATTAAGGAGCACAAAAGCATTTGCCCTTGATTTAGTGTAATTCATATGTGTTACATTTTCTGTAGTGTTTCATATTCATCCTAACACATTCTTTGTGTCCGAGTGGTTTTCTCTATAGCAATTTACATTGGGTTTTAAATTATTGTGCACCTTTTATCTACCATTTTATCAGAAAACCTTTCTTAGAGACATTGATCAGCAAATCTTCACTTTGCAACCCTCTTGGGTCACTGACTCCCTTAGAAAATCTGGTGAAAGCTTAGGAGCCCCTCCCTCCTTTTTTTTTTTTTTTTACCGCATCGTGGTATTCCACTGTGTAGATATACCACAGTTGTGTGTGTGTGTGTGCGTGTGTGTGTGGAATGGGGTTGGGGTTTGTTGTGTGTGTGTGTGTGTGTGTGTGTGTGGGGGGTGGGGGTGGGGGAGTGGGAACCATGGAAGCTGCCAAAAGGGGGGCCGAGGCCTGAGGCAGCGCTATCCTTCCCCAAGGACGGACCGCCAGCCCCCAGGCCATGCCGGACGAGCAGAGGGCACTGAGCCTCCATCCGCCCCCTCCTGTGGCTGAGGCCAGGCGCTGGTTAAACCGTCAGCTGACGGAGGGCTATGTCCACGTGTGCTCCCAAGGCTCACCCCAAATCCAGCCGAGGCGGGTGGGGGACCTCCAGCCTGCCCACCCACCACAAGCTGGCATGTACCCCCTCGGCCCGCAAACAGGAGGCTCACAGCCGGACTACAAGAGGACCCCACCACCCCCCATGCTCACCCCCACACACAC